TGAGCAGTCACCTTTATCTGCAGTAAGTAATAGCTCATCAGTAACCTTAACAAGTGCTGCATCGGTACTATAAGGTTTTGATGGTGATCGGGTGGTGTTCACCTACTTATTTGCCATACAGTGTTTGAAGAAGTATTTGCTGGCTGAACAGTAATCCCCTTAAAAGACAAAGACCTAAATCTTTGGAAGTGAACTATTGACCCAGGTACTACTCATCCATCTTACATACTGCCACAGATGTGCCTGTGAAACTGTTATGCTGCTTTTACTATATATTTTGATATATTGACATTTACATACAGATTTACATTTCACCAGTGTTACAAAATAAAGAGAAGGGTTACTGGTGTTATTCAGTGATGGATTAATAACCCTGTTATTGAGTGTCTTCCGGTTTCTGGTCCACTTATTAACCGATTCTCATGCGTCTTTGTTTACTTCAGAACAATGGTGAGTGCTACTAAGTGAAACCTGTTGGAGTCGTAGCTGATAGATTTGCAAATGCAACAAAGAAAAGAAAGATGGTGCCAGTGTTCGTCCCTTCAGCTCAATTCAAAAATGGCTGCAAGCCTACCAGAAATGCTATGCTACAAAGCGACCAATCACAGCTTTTGCGGTCTGTGTCGCCGCAACATATTTTTTAAGAGTTGTAATGGTACGACTTACGGCTCTGCGTAGTGTAAATGTCTACGCGTGGGCTACGGCATAGTTTCGTCGTAGAAGCATGATTTAAGTTTTATCTATTTTTAATCTTATTTTATCATGTGTAATTATCATTTATTTAAAACATCAGTGACATGCAATTGACTGTTAGATTGTTGCTCATACTTTGCTGTATGAGGAGCCCTTGTGAGCATCTTCCTTGTGAAAAACTTGAACTGTAATTTTTATCTCAGTATGGTCACAAAATCATTTTTTGCTGTACTTTCAAAGTCAGTAGAAACATCAGATGTGGCTGTGACACATTTATCTCTCAATAAACAAAACAGAATCATAAATGTTTGCCTACAAATAACAATCAAAGAGAAAACGAGTACACAATGAAAACTTCCAGCTCAAAACATTGCATCGATACATTTTAGGAGTTTGTAACATTCTTCGCTCAGAACAGCTAAACCACATCTTTAACTAACTGTTAACTGTACTACTACGTGTACTAACATGCACTCTGAAATCCTATTACGTGGTTGTTAGCTGCATCCAAACTAAATGGATAACCTAATCAAATTATAGCGGTCAGGCTGAGTCTTAGTTTAATGGTTATTAGGAAATAAGCACCTTGTTTTTAATTAAAAGTGCACACATTTCTATCAGCTCCCTAAAGGAAAGTCTTGAGGAGCATAAAAAGTAATGAATTGACTGACAAGAATATATATGCCAGAGCTGTTCATGACAAGAAAATATCTACTAGTTTTCCATTGCATTTTTGTTGTGGTGAAATTTATGAATAATGGTGCAGTAAAATGTTCCTTACAGTAAAATCTCAGTAAAGAAATACAATGAATGATAAAAGACTTCCTGAAAAAGCAAGAAGTGATTATACACTGACAGATTATGGATTCAATCCACAAGAAGATCCTCTTTGCTTATCTTTGTCATCCACTGTGGGTCTGCCCCTCGGGGCTATATAACCATAGCTGCAGTATTAAGTTTGAGAGCAGACACTTGGCTGCATTGACAGTAATCCAGGGTTACTCTACTGCCAATACAAAGCCTAACAAAGCAAAGATGGAGAACGGCACAGAGGGCAAGAACTTCTACATCCCCATGAACAACAGGACGGGGCTGGTTAGGAATCCATATGAATATACTCAGTATTATTTGGCGCATCCATGGCAATTCAAGTTACTGGCTCTCTACATGTTCTTCCTGATCTGCACTGGCTTCCCTATCAACGCTCTCACTCTGATGGTCACAGCCCAGAACAAGAAGCTACGACAACCTCTCAACTTCATCCTGGTCAACCTGGCTGTGGCTGGACTCATCATGGTCTGCTTTGGTTTCACTGTCTCATTTTATTCTTCTCTAATGGGTTATTTCTCCTTGGGACCATTGGGTTGTGCAATTGAAGGATTCATGGCAACACTTGGAGGTAAACATTGGGAAAGTGATTATTTGCCTTTATCACACATGATGATTGTCTAGATTGTCTTTTGTTTTGACTGATGAAGTTGTGGGATAGTGTAACAGATGGCAGGATCAGAAGATTCTCATGACTACATCTGTTCTCCCTTTCTACCAACAGGTCAAATTTCTCTGTGGTCCCTCGTGGTTCTAGCTGTTGAGAGATATATTGTTGTATGTAAACCCATGGGAAGCTTCAAATTTACAGCCACCCATGCTGGAGCAGGTTGTGCCTTCACCTGGATCATGGCTGCCTCCTGCGCTGTTCCTCCTCTGGTTGGCTGGTCAAGGTAATCAACTACTTACCAATAATGGATCACATGACCCCTTGTCCACATCAAGGAGTGCAGAATAGAGAAGATCTTTATTCACTTCAGAATTATCTAAATTTAGACATTCATCTGTGCAACATGGCTTATTTTTGTAGTCGTGTCCTTTTCTTTCTGTTGAATCTGCAATTGTTTCACACAGAGTCTTAATTACTCTTTTGTTGTTGATGTTGATGATTTTAATGGATCCAGCAGTGATACCATCTTTTATTGTTGATTGTGGCCATGTTTACCTTTAACTAATCTCCACACATGAGGGTAGGATAATTGGCTTAAAGCAGAGGCATGTTTACTACCTGTCTTGTCAAGTGACTTCTCATGTGGCTTGCTCTGATGCCTCTCTTCTAAGCTCTCTTCAGCTGCTTTTGCACGTCCCAGCATTGAAGCTGATAAAGTATTAGCATAACTAATAGGAATAATGGCAAAACCCATAAAACGAGAGCCATCTGTAAATATGAAACAAACAAAGAAAAACTTCAAGTACACATTTACAACTCTTGAAGATACCATGACCTGAAAATCCAGCTATCCTTCTGTTGTCATGTTGCATTTGTCTCCATGGCTGTGCTCTATTGCACAATATAACATAAATAAAAGCAGGCCTTGCCTGACTCAGTAGTACCCCCAGCTCTTGATACAGGCCATGATGATCTTCTGGCTAGTCCCCCTTCATACACATTGAACGCTTACAGATGGTCCAGAATGTGGCAGCACATCTGGTCTTCAATGAGCCTAAGAAATGCACATTTCATTTCACCGCTCATCAACCACCCATGGCCTCATTTAAAAATGTGGACACTATATGGCTGTGGAAATGGGTGTGCTATGTTCAAGCCTTTCTACTTTTTTGCAAATCCACTTTGGCCATTAATTACATGTAAATATAGCTGTCTATTGTTGCCTGAAGTGCAAATTCAGATTATATGACAGTGACCTTGAATTTTGTTGTTTTGTATCAACAGCACAAATCACATTATTTCATAGTGGCTTTTCCAGAATCCATCTGAAAGCAATCATTTTGGTGTTGCTCTAACAATCGCTCTGAGATTTTGCTCAGTGCTTCTGCTGGTGAATCTTCTGAGCAATTGATGTCAATGATATAATTTTTTAGCTTGTATATTGCATTTACATGCAAACTTTGACACCTGACAAAACCTTTAAATGATTGCAGTACTTTGTGGGCCAGTTTGAACTCCTTCCCACAGTCATGCATCATCAAATATTACAGTAAATATTACCTCACCTGATCCTTTTCCTAACAATATGTTTCTTTCGTGATTTTTTTAACCTTAAAGGGTCAGGGTTAGGACCAGGACCACTGTGTCATTATGTTCTGACTTGTGCATCACATTAGGTCCCACTGACATAAACCATTCCTATCCAAGTACAGAAATCCCCAGTTAAATCCCAGTATGTTCTCTATATACTAGTTTGGTTGACACATAGTTATGATTTATAATGTAAACACTGATATCATGTATTTAATGCTATATGTCTTGTATTTACAGGTACATTCCTGAGGGAATTCAGGTCTCCTGTGGACCAGACTACTACACTCTGGCTCCAGGCTTCAACAATGAATCATTTGTCTTGTACATGTTCACCTGCCACTTCTGTGTTCCTGTATTCACCATCTTCTTCACGTATGGAAACTTAGTGTGCACAGTGAAGGCGGTAAGAGACGTGCTTTAATCTAGTGTGATGTTTGTAAATGCATTTTGTGGGTGGTTGCAACTGTGTGTAATGTGAAATGAACAAGATGCACACAATACAAATAACGAATGATGGCTTAATTTTCAGGCTGCAGCTCAGCAGCAGGAGTCAGAGTCCACCCAGAAGGCTGAGAGGGAAGTGACACGTATGTGCATCCTGATGGTGCTGGGCTTCCTCGTGGCCTGGACCCCATATGCCAGCTTTGCTGCCTGGATCTTCTTCAACAAGGGAGCTGCCTTCTCAGCCATCGCCATGGCCATCCCTGCCTTCTTTTCAAAGAGCTCAGCGCTGTTCAACCCTGTTATTTATGTGCTGATGAACAAGCAGGTACGATGCTCATAGTGCTTAGAGTCCGTACACTTTTTAAATTCTTTATAACAACAGCAGGCAGACAAAAGGACATTTTGAAGTGTTAATTACTATTTATACTTGTGAATATGTATTTACACATGAGGAAATGCTTTACTGGCAGGTTTATAAAAATCTGTTTGTAAAGAAATACAATGAATGATAAAAGACTTCCTGAAAAAGCAAGAAGTGATTATACACTGACAGATTATGGATTCAATCCACAAGAAGATCCTCTTTGCTTATCTTTGTCATCCACTGTGGGTCTGCCCCTCGGGGCTATATAACCATAGCTGCAGTATTAAGTTTGAGAGCAGACACTTGGCTGCATTGACAGTAATCCAGGGTTACTCTACTGCCAATACAAAGCCTAACAAAGCAAAGATGGAGAACGGCACAGAGGGCAAGAACTTCTACATCCCCATGAACAACAGGACGGGGCTGGTTAGGAATCCATATGAATATACTCAGTATTATTTGGCGCATCCATGGCAATTCAAGTTACTGGCTCTCTACATGTTCTTCCTGATCTGCACTGGCTTCCCCATCAACGCTCTTACTCTGCTAGTCACGGCTCAGAACAAGAAACTCAGGCAACCTCTCAACTTCATCCTGGTCAACCTGGCTGTGGCTGGACTCATCATGGTCTGCTTTGGGTTCACCATCACCTTCATCACTGCTATTAATGGCTATTTTATTTTTGGACCAATGGGTTGTGCCATTGAGGGATTCATGGCTACTCTGGGAGGTATGATATAGTAACAATGTTTGTACTGAATTTTGTTGCTTTTGTATCTGGAAATTCCTTTTTTATTTTACTTAAAATATTTTCTGAAAGGGTCTTATGCAACTAGAGTCATGAACACATGTCTTCTGTTCTTTCATTATGTCCCAGGTCAAGTTGCTCTCTGGTCTCTGGTCGTCTTGGCTGTCTTTTAACACATGAATGTTCTTTTATGAAAAATACATATTTGGAGACAGAAGTTTACAGTTTGGGTCATCTTTAATAATTTTTTTTGTTTGTACACAAAGATTTATAATTTTAATTAGGATTAGCTGATGAAGAGGATTAACTTCTCTTCCTGCGGTCCTCTCAAAACATTATATTAGTATACTATATCAGCCTATTATATTAATATCAGTATACATTATAATATATGAATGAATACACATATTTACGAACTTTCCAACATAAACAGTACATACAAGTGGTATTTATATGTGCACTTCAAGCCAAAGTTAAAGAGTTTCTTATTACACAAAAGATAAAAAGCAATGATCATGAGCATGATTAACTATAATACTGTTTAGTTTTAAGACAAACAGTTATATAATCCTTGACTTACCCAAAACAAGGCTAATAACCAAAGGTGATTACTCCTTCGCAGTAGCCGTCCCAAACTTATGGAACAATTTACGACTCCAGATTAGATCTACTTCCTCTCTTTCACACTTCCAATCACTACTAAAACCATATCGGTTCTCCTTGGCTTACTCCTCGAGCTGAGGACGTTTTTATCACAGCTGATTTACTCAGATTTATTTTATTGTATATCTTATATTTTACTTTATTTTAATTTTWAATTATTCTACTTTCTATCTTATTCTATTTTTACTCTGATGTATTGCGTGTTACGGTCTTCTTGTTGTACCTTGTACTTGTGAAGCACTTTGGTCAACCAAGTTGTTTTAAATGTGCTATATACATAAAATTGACATGGACATAATCAAACACCATTATTGTCCCTCCTGCACACTCTCATTCGCAGTGCACAGTGAGGCACTACGAAGGAGTGTGGATGCATCTAGTGTTTCAGAGGAGCAGCTTGTTAACGACCTGCCCTTTGGAGGAGTGGCTGAGAGGACATAACACTGTGGACGCCCTGAGCAGCTTCTTCAACAGTCTTTTTCTAGACTCTACAACACCATCCCTAACCTTAAAAATAATACCAGCTGTTTGTTTCTCTTGTTCCAATCTACTAATGATTGCACTATTTTTAACAAAAACTGCACATTACCTGTGTAGAAAATCATTTTATATTATTCACAGAAGTTTTTTTTGCCTCTCATCATCACCTTAAGATTCTACATTCTCGTGCAATCATCCTGTAACACTGTACTTTACTGAAATATTTGTTTTCAGTACAGTGATGTTTTGCTGCAGTGAAAGGTGTATATTACTGTATGTACATATTCTGTATTTTTCATATTTACATTTTTAAATTAACTTGACTTCTTTTATAGTTGTATTCTCTTTTCTACCTCATTTTTCGGTTGTTTGCTGTTGTAACAAGGAAACGTCTGCAGTGTGGGATCAATAGAGTTTCAACTTGTACTTAATAACATAATATATACAGACCACACTAAAAAATGATCAAAACAAATAAAGAAAAAATAAAGAAAAATATATTAAAAATGCCTGGAAATTTGTACAAAGCATATTGTACAATTGTATATTATATTTACCTATATTTGTACAATTATATAGAAAATATATATTATATATAAACTTTTGTACAATTGTACATATCAAATTTTGGATAGTATTTTGAAGATATATATAAAACAAATCATGTTCATGATCATGCTTTTTATCTTTTATGTCATAAGAAACTCTTAAATGTTGACATATAAATACCAAATTTAAATACCCCTCTAGTCATGACAGATTCGGCTCTCAACTTAATCACCAGCATAGCTAGGGTCATAGTATTTATATGCAAACAGTATATAACATGGTATTACTTGGTATTAGAAAAAAAAAGATATTAAATGTGCATTTTGCTCATAATCATTAAACAAATAAAAAGGACTTCTCTGTTACTCTAAGAACATAAACAGGTTCTCCTACAATGTGTGAGAGGTCATCAGTTGTGTGGTAAATGTTGTTTCAAAATTACATCCTCTAAATTTGAGTTTTTTATTAAAGAGGAAAACATCAGTTAGTTGAAAATTGTAAAGAGATGTATTTGTTCTCTGGACAAGTCCAAGATTTTCAAACATAAGCTGAAACAGAAGTTACAGATAACATGGACAGAAAAAAAAGAGTAACAAGATTAAAAAGCTGTTTATTATCCAGTGTTAAGATGAATTACCAAGGATTACACAAGGACTTTTTGTCTATCCCCCTGTAAGCTACTTCTTGAAGAGTATAAAGCCAACACCTAGACCTGAGATCCATCGCACGCTGAGGGATCAAACATTGCTTTAGGCAAACTCCACGCGGTCGGTCCTTTAACCAAGAGAAGATGGAGAACGGCACAGAAGGCAAGAACTTCTACATCCCCATGAACAACAGGACAGGGCTTGTGAGAAGTCCTTTTGAATATCCACAGTACTACCTGGGGGATCCCATGTTCTTCAAATTTCTTGCCGTATACATGTTCTTCCTGATCTGCACTGGCTTCCCCATCAACGCTCTTACTCTGCTAGTCACGGCTCAGAACAAGAAACTCAGGCAACCTCTCAACTTCATCCTGGTCAACCTGGCTGTGGCTGGACTCATCATGGTCTGCTTTGGGTTCACCATCACCTTCATCACTGCTATTAATGGCTATTTTATTTTTGGACCAATGGGTTGTGCCATTGAGGGATTCATGGCTACTCTGGGAGGTATGATATAGTAACAATGTTTGTACTGAATTTTGTTGCTTTTGTATCTGGAAATTCCTTTTTTATTTTACTTAAAATATTTTCTGAAAGGGTCTTATGCAACTAGAGTCATGAACACATGTCTTCTGTTCTTTCATTATGTCCCAGGTCAAGTTGCTCTCTGGTCTCTGGTCGTCTTGGCTGTTGAGAGATACATTGTCGTCTGCAAACCCATGGGTAGCTTCAAATTCACTAATTCACATGCAGGAGCAGGTGTTTTGTTCACCTGGATCATGGCTCTATCTTGTGCTGCCCCTCCACTGGCTGGCTGGTCTAGGTAACAGCAAACATCTCACTGAAACACTAAAACTGCAGCCTCTGCATCCACCTGATGATTTCAGGGTGCTAGGGGGAATGGAAGGATTTCACACTTGGAAGCTGAGAGCTAATTTACAGAAAACAAAACTTAGTGCTCAGTCAACAAACACAAAACCTCAGAACAAACTAGCATTCATGTTGTCCAGTTCTGTGGCGTCAACATTTGGCTAATCTGATTGATCATTAACATCGGAACCCTCAGCACTAGCCTTTGCCTTGTCCATCTGAAAAAAACAAGCAAGCTTCTTCCTATCATTGGATGAAGACCCACAGTGTGCGACGCATCGCAATATGCAATTCTTGCGAGAAATCTTGCCCGATCAACCCAAGTTACATAGTTATACCTTAAAATGACCTTCTCCTGTGCTTTTCTGACCATGACGAATCAGAATGTCTGCTGCTTTCTGAAGAGAAGCTTTACCAAATAGACTTAGACTTTGATACCATTCATTAAAACAACCCCAGAAACTCCATAGAGCTTTGACTTAAACCAATTATATTGCTAATTATGGGGAAATTGAACTGTGAAGATGGCACGTTGGAAAAAGCTTTTTGCAAATGATTCATTATTCAACACTCTCTGATAAGATGGACAGGGTGCAGCTCATGTACTAACACTAACTAACAACAATTTAACAAATAGAATCTTCGCTGAATATTAATGATAAAGTAATAGTGAGGAAAGGGTATAACTAAGTTTTCTTGTTTCTTAACTTTCCTTAAAGTATACCTAGAGCTCATTCATAGATCAGGTTTGAATGATTTTCTCTTTTCTCTCACAGGTACATCCCTGAGGGCATGCAGTGCTCATGTGGACCAGACTACTACACTCTGTCTCCGGGCTTCAACAATGAATCATACGTCATGTACATGTTCATCTGCCACTTCTGTGTCCCAGTTGGCACCATCTTTTTCACCTACGGAAGCCTTGTGCTCACAGTCAAAGCTGTAAGTCCTACCCTCTGTGCCACACTCACCTGCACATTGAGCTCAGTGGTCACACCTGCAGCTCAGCAGCAAAACTGTGTTGAATTCTTGGCTAAATCCTGAAGAAATACAGTGGTTGCAAATGTAGTTGCTTTTCATTTAAAGCTCTAAAACAAAACTTTCTGATCTGTGAATCTTGACGATATTGTGTGTTTCTCAAACACTTCAGGCTGCAGCTCAGCAGCAGGAGTCAGAGTCCACCCAGAAGGCTGAGAGGGAAGTGACACGTATGTGCATCCTGATGGTGCTGGGCTTCCTCGTGGCCTGGACCCCATATGCCAGCTTTGCCGCCTGGATCTTCTTCAACAAGGGAGCTGCCTTCTCAGCCATCGCCATGGCCATCCCTGCCTTCTTCTCAAAGAGCTCAGCGCTGTTCAACCCTGTTATTTATGTGCTGATGAACAAGCAGGTCAGTTTATCACTGAACTGTAGCAACTGTTACTGCAGAACCCAGGTCTTTGGTCCGTGTTGCTTGGGGACAATAATAAGCACATTTCAGTCACTTAATAAGTTGTATTTTTTGATAATATTGCAGCAGTTAGTTTGATTCTTTGTCCAGTGTTTCAAGGATTCAGTTGAACAGTTTACTAAGAAATTGCATTGTTGTTGTACAGGCCTGTAACCAGTAGGAGGCTCAATAGTTCAGATTTGACAGTATCATAGTGCCTGTAACTCATAGCTTCTCTTATACAGTGAGCAACACTATGTTAAGTCCTTTTGATCCATTTCTAATAAATCTAAGTTTTAAATTCTGCAGCTGTTCTTAATATGGCATTCATCATGATATTTGATTAGTAGATTTGAGCGCATAGTTTCTTCATGTGAGACATGTTTAAAATTGTCTGGTTTCTCACCTCTATACATTTTCTCCCTTTCAGTTCCGTAACTGCATGCTGAGCACTATTGGAATGGGTGGCATGGTTGAAGATGAGACCTCAGTATCAACCAGCAAGACAGAAGTGTCCTCTGTCTCTTAAGAATAACTACTACACATCTCCAAATGTCCACCCTCCTGATGTCTTTCTGCTTCTGAACGGCAAACTTGAAATGGAAATAAGCAATGGATACAATCAAACAAATCTTTTCTGCATCAAATGGATACTAACCTCAAATTTCACGTGGCAGTGTTTAACCATGGAGGTTCTATATTTTTGCATGTGTGAGATTCTGGACACTGACATCATCTGAATGACACCTGGAAAAGAAAATCTGCTGAAACACAGTCTCAAGTGTCTGGTTATGATAAATGTCGATGATGACACATGCTTGGACGAGTGGGTAAAAATCATCTTTGTATATTTATGACATGAAGGGGTTGGCATATTTGTGGACCTTTGTCATAAAATATTGTATATATTTTGTAAACACAAAAAGTGTAGATAGAAGATAATAAATGCATGCATAAAAATAATTCTGACTGTCCCTGTCATTTAAACAGTTCAGAGGATGTTTGGTTTTACTTGGATAGAGATTTGTGCTGTGAATGTGTCCTTCCTCTTTTGTTCATCCCATTTATCCTCTAGCTAATCTGCAGACTTGCACGGACCACTGATTTGTATTTGCTGATAAGTCACATTATTTTATTAGATAGTTAGTAAAGGAAAGGGTCAGGGATAGGACATAAAGTTTAATAATGTGTTTGCAGTAGCAAACCTGATGATTAAATGAACTAACAAGTAAATAACATGAGGTCACAGTAGAATAAGCAGAAGCACTTTATAATGGTGGATATGCAGAACAGACTTAATTTAGTGACATGACAGTTCAGCCGTTACGTATATATTTTTTTCATAGCTTAAATTAATTCAATCCTATCATTTTATGACATTTTTACTACAATACAATATATACTGTAAAAAATTCAATTTTGGATGCATTAATTAACTATTGGGAATGTTGCAAGGAATCCCTGACCTCCTCCACCTTGTTTTTTATCTTATAGTATGTTTCTTTATGTTAAATACATAACATACTTAACATTATTAGGTGACACTTTTTTTCAAAGCTACTTACAATTCAATGCATTCCAACATCTATGAGGGGCCATTCAGGGCTCAGCATCTTGCCCAACCTACTGGTTAGAGGATGACTGCTCTACCCCTCAGCCACAATTCCCTGACATGCTGAAGTTGTTTTTTAATTTTGATTGCCTTCCTTGGTTTATTAAAGGGGAATATAATGATCTTTATTGAATCTTTAAAGTATGTAATTATATTTTTAATCCTTCCTCATCCCTACAATGTGGCTTCAAGTAAAACTCCCATATGATAGAGTCAAAACAACCCTGAAGGCCCTGAAATTATCTCCATACGTTGACTGTCCTCACCCCTTTCATTATTTGCCTCTACAAAGGGATGAAAGCTGAGGGAAGTAAAGCTGATTAGCCGATCCAGTGATAGTGACCTAAAGGCTTCAGTCATTACATTTATCTAGTCTCTTATTGTGTCACAGGCAACATGTTGGTGGAAGCCTTTTAGGGATTTGTCCATGGAGCAGTGATTGACGTCCAGACGATGAATTATATTATCTATAGTCTACCACCAACTTTTACTCCTGCCATCATGTGATTATTACAAACTGCATCGTTAAGCCAATTTTTAAAACCACGTTTAATTCATCATGTTCATTGCAGACTTAAATATTTTTGCATGTTTGCTTCTCGATCCTTCACCTACACGCTTTCTTTTGTTTTCTTCTATCACTCTTCAGCATGTCATGGTGAAGGAGGACAAACTCCTCAATGGCAAAAATAAGACCAGATTACATCATAAACAGTCTGTCTGTTCGCAACTTTATACTAGTTTAAGACAAGTGTAAATAAAAGAGAGCATTATTGTGAGATAAACCTTCACTGACCCAGATAAGAAAGGTCTATGAAATAAATAGTAAGTAGTTATAGTAATAGTCATATATTCCTCTATTCAGGAGAAATGAATCTCTAGTCGATACTCTCTCTGCATGACTGTTATTTGTGAAAGGTAATAAATAATATAACTGCCGTAGCTCACATACAGTAAATTCAGGTCCCATATATATATATAAAGGTCTAGTAAATAATGTACTTGTGATGTCAGCTGAAGAAGGAGCCACACATAGGAGCCATTGACCTAGTTCTTCACAGCAGTTACTGAGGGCATCATTGTGCAATAACCTGCTGTTCTCCTCTCTTAAGAGCTGATGATCTCTCACTCAGGGAGAGGTAACAAGAATGACATTTCAACTTTTCGCCTCTGGTGGGCGCTACAGATCACTGTACATTGACTAAACATGGAAAACACTTCAATCCACACAGCACTGACGATATGTACCTCTCTCATTTTGTCCGATTTCCTTTTTTGTAATCTTCTGCCCATCCTGTATATTTTATGTAAATACCAACATTCACTAGTCAGTTCCCACCACTACTACTGTATTCTGATTTGACATCTGTTTTGGAATAATCATGTTTCTTACTCCGCATATAACACTGTTGGTGTTTCCAGTGCCAGTGGGTGTGAGGCTAATAACACTGTTCTGCTCTTTTCTTTGCTAAACAGGTTAACCTGATCTGGCTTTACCACCTTTTGGTCTCAGCCAGTGACGGCGCCAGAGTATTTTTTCTGGTTCAACCACGGTGGGGCTCAAACACACACACACACACACACACACAGTTGTTGTCATCGCAGCTGCTGGAATGCTGTTATGATGTGGAGGCGCTGTTGGACTCCACACTTCTCTTGGTTTTATGGTAGGGCTAACACAATTCTTGATGGGGCTATAGCCCAACCAAGCCCTACCCTGGCGCCGCCTATGGTCTCAGCACAGTAACGATCAAGTAATCCTAAATAATCCTAAACTGCCTCCTGTGGGCGCTGACGCCCCCTATAGACCAGTGGCAGAACATGTTCTATGATGGACTGAGACAGTCTCAGATGAGGAAAAGTGTGAGCAAGAGTATAAAATGGTAAAATCAATAAAAAACTGATGTTTGACATGAATAAAAAAAATGTTGAGGTCACAAATAGATACCAGTTTTTAAGGTTTGAAATCAACTCGATATGTGAAACTCGTTTTTCATGCATGCATTTATTTACCTATGCTATATTTTGTATATACAATGTTTACAATTCATGATGACCAACTCAGCAAGTGACAAAAAAAGAATTTTACATGGTATATAGTTGCACTTTTTGAAAATACAGTACAAAATGTGAAATATTGTGGCATTTGAAACACATATTGTTAGGTGTTACATATTTTCGATGGTGCCAAATAGCTCAAATGTGTCGGGGAGTCCTGTGCCTCAGATGAAAGGGGGGAGTCAAAATGAGCATCCATATACATGAATTAACAGATCTTACCATTATTTGCACTGATTTTGAATTCACATTGATTTCCAACATGCTTCAAATAAAAGGTGAAAAAAATGCAGTTCATGAGTTTGTTCCTGGAGCCGTTCATCACTGGTCAAGTAGTTCAGACGTCCCTGAACCTCACTCAGTCCACATTGAGGATTATTCCAGATTGAAGAGACAGTGGAAAGGAAAATGTCCAGGTTAATGAAAATGTCTTTATGTTTAAGAAACAGAGGACACTTCTGTTTTGCTGGCAGACACTGAGGTCTCATCCTCCACCATGCCTCCCATTCCAATAGCGCTCAGCATGCAGTTACGGAACTGAAGAGGTGAAAGAAAGAAGAGAAACATTAGAGTAAAAAACATTCTGTGTTCTCCATGTTGGGTTTAAACACTGACAATATAGGTAACATCTTTTTTATATGAACTAACCTGTTTGTTCATCAGCACGTAGATAACAGGGTTATAGAGAGCTGAGCTCTTAGCAAAGAAGGCAGGGATGGATGCAGTCAGGGCGGTGAAGGCAGCTCCCTTGTTCATGAAGATCCAGCCAGCGAAAGTGGCATATGGGGTCCAAGCCACGAGGAAGCCAATGACCATCAGGACGCACATACGTGTCACTTCCCTCTCAGCCTTCTGGGTGGACTCTGACTCCTGCTGCTGAGCTGCAGCCTGAAGTGTTTGAGAAAATTCACAGAACAGAATGATTTGTTATAGAGCTTTAAATGAAAAGCAAATATATGAGCAAACAATTCAATTTCTTCAGGATTTAGCTAAGAATTCAACATCTCATATATTTTATGTTTGACTTACAGCTTTGACTGTCAGCACAAGGCTTCCGTATGTGAAGAAAATCACAAAGACGGGAACGAAGAAGTGGACGACAAACATGTAGATGACGTATGACTCATTGTTGTAGCCGGGGGCCAGAGTGTAATAGTCTGGTCCGCAAGAGCACTGCATGCCCTCAGGGAGGTACCTGTGTGAGATGGAGACAGAGCCATTATTAAGAGCTAAAACTGGAGCCGTGCAAGAAGCTCTGCTATCAAACCAACCTCATAAGTTCACTGTCATGCACTGTTCATAGGAATGTGAATTTACCTGGACCAGCCGAACAGTGGGGGGCCAGCACATGCAAAAGCCATGATCCAGGTGAAGAGGACTCCAGCTCCTGCATGAGTTCCGCTGAACTTGAAGCTTCCCATGGGTTTGCAGACGACGATGTATCTCTCAACAGCCAGGACGACCAGAGACCAGAGAGCGACTTCACCTGTAGAGAGACAAGAGTGAATTCAGGTTAACTTTCAAGACTTTAATGCAACCCTGGTAGTGAGAATTAGTTGATTGACATTTACCTCCGAGTGTAGCCATGAATCCCTCAATAGCGCAGAAAGTGGCTCCCAGAATGAAGTAGCCGTTAAAAGCAGAGGTGATGGTGATGGTGAATCCGAAGCAGCACATGATGAGTCCGGCCACGGCCAGGTTGACCAGGATGTAGTTGAGAGGTTGCCTGAGTTTCTTGTTCTGAAACGTGACCAGCACTGCCAGACCGTTGATGGGGGTTCCAGTGCAGATCAGGAAGAACATGTAGAAAGCTAGAAGTTTGTACATCATAGAATCTACCATGTAAAACTGAGGGTATTCAAAAGGACTTCTAACAATCCCAGTCCTGTTGGACATGGGGATGTAGAAGTTCTTGCCCTCTGTGCCATTGGGCTCGATTCCTCCGTCCCAAACCATCTTCGATTGTCTGTTGTTTCTGCTGAGCTTCTTTGGCTGAAAAAAACCCAATAGTGCTGATGGACACGAGAGTCTGATTTGCACTGACTGACTTTTATACCTCAGCACTAACCTTGTCGTCAAATTGCCAAAATGAGATTACAGGATTGTGAGGTGGTACAGGAGGTCAGTAATTACTCTAACCCCCCCGCCTAGGCCCTGAAGTAATTTGCTCCACTTTCCAAGTTCAACTGAGTTCTCCTAATCCTGATTTAAGAATGTGAAATAAGTTCCGTCAGTAGCTTTTAGCATGTTATTTGCTGTGAACACATTTTGAACAATTAAACCTGGAGGCATAAGGAAAATCTAATTTGTCTGGATAAATTAATCATCAGTGTATTGATTTATGTGCAATTTAAAACCTATGGCTGTTTTCCATTTCTATGCTCATTTGAATAAAACATGCAGAAGTGGTGCTATTTTAATTTCCTACTTTCAGGCTTGTCCAGCAATCTGGAATTTCAATCACCATTATCCAACTGTATATGAAAAGATTTGTAGGTGTGCTCATCCTGATTAACCTCGGAGCCTCACCTGCAGAGGCCTTGTTGTGATGTAGCAAGAGCTTACTGTCACAGACGAGAAAGAGAACGTCTGCGAGACACTTATCGAACTTGTCACTTACCTCAGGGTCAAGTGTTGCCCTCAGTGTTACTGAAGTGGGACAATAGATAGAAATCAGTGGAAGTCAGAGGAGCCTGACTGACGCCAATAAAATTCTGTTGCTACGGGCGATTAATTGTTAATTCACTGCAAGTAAAAGCTGCCTGTGATTATCTGTTTACATTCAGTGAAATCTAGGGTTTTTAATTGTTTTAAATGTTGTGCTTGTTAAAGTGGGTCTGTCTTAGTTGAATCGAGTACTTGTATGATGTAAGTTATTGCTTGTAAAATTTATAGCGGCAAGTTAAATGTGGTTCAATAAAGACTTTTGCCATTTTAACCTAGTTTTTTTGGTCCTAGTCTGCTAATTGAATGCAGGATTTTTGTAGTGTATTGATGCTTGTTAAATGTAGTTTTTGCTTGTTAGATAAACATTTTACTTTACTTGTTTTTTTTTGTAGTATTCTTATCGTATAAAATTGTGGTTTGCTTGGCAAATGTAGTCTGGTTTAATATAGGATTTTACTCAATATGTTTCTTGCTTTTTAAATGTGTGTTGTCTCTTGTTAAATGTGGCTTTTTGCCTGTTCAATAAATATATAGTTTATACAGTTAATATACTTTTAGTTAAATGTTAAATGTCTGTTTGTTTAATGCAGGGTTGTACTTTTAATGAAGTTTGTCACTTGATTAATGTAGTGATTTACTTGTGCAATGCAGTTTTTAGGTCATTCTCTGTATTTTAATTAAATGCAATATGTGTAGACTTTTAACATCTCTTGATTTTTTATTTTTTTTATTTCCATTCATCCATTTATCTGTATCTGGCCTTTGTCATTGGTGGATGAATATGTGCTTCAAAACTAATTTAATTGAAAGGTTTGATGAGTACACCAATGAGCTTTAATGTCTGACCTTAATTTAAGGCAAACCAGATGAATAAATTAACAATAACATTATCACACTGAATGTGTCACAGGTGCAACCCTTCGCACCTTACCTGCCAAAGCACATAACAAACTAAGCGGACGACTTAGAGGCCATCCGGTGTTAAGGTCATTAACAAATTGTTTCTACTTACCTCACCCAGACTGAAATCTAATTTAGCTAATTCACGGCTGTCACTGTTAAAAAAATAAGATGCACTAATTAAGGTGTGAATGCGCACATCCACACACAAGCTGATTGTGTCCATCCACTTACTGAAGATTTGAAGTATTGAGCAAAATTCTCTCGGCTCACAGGATCAGGAGTGTGTCCCTTTTGACACACAAAGTTTTATTAGACAGATCTTGGTTCGTTTGTCTTTGTCTGACCTGTGACTCCATCAGAGATCTGCTATTGTTCCCGGACTCTCTTTCAACCTCTCGACTGAATCCTGGTGAAGTCAGCTGTGGTTGGACTGAAGATGTGCAACTCTGGATTCACCATCAACCACAACATCTACTAAACTGTCTTTACTGTGAAGGGATGCATGGCCAAACTCTGAGGTAAAGTGCAAATTAAGATATCACAATTATCTGAAAATTGATAAATAGTTCATATGTTTGATAATTTATGATATACTTAATAATATTTCTTGCCTCTGATCCTGACATTACACTTTTGAGTCTTGTCAGAAGGTCACTGTAAGTATTAGTTGTAGTTGCAGTGCAGAGGTGGAGCATATGATGCTCACATTTCAGCTTCACACTCAACAGACTATTACAATGAGCTAAAAAATCTTAGAAATGGGTAGATTTATCAGGTATCTACCTGACAAGCTGGCACTGTGCATAGTTGCTGCTGTTAAAGGCACTGGTTGATTTACTTCTACTACTGGTAATAGTGGTAATCCACTAATATTACAATTAATTGTAGACCCTTTCAAAATACTGATTCA